TTGGTTAATAACTTATTCACTGTAGTCTCAGTGTTAATGAATATAATATAAGGTCTAATCAATGAGCATATTGGCTCTCAGAATGAATAGTATAATAGTTCTGATAGTTTTGGGAACTTTGATGTAGCCGAGTATATGAATTACTCAATGTTTGTATTAAACAGTCCCCGAGAGTATTTCTATATTACGGACATAAACACCCAGAGCTGGTGGCTTGTGTGCTCATGTGCTCAATCCACGATTGGATACCCTGGTGATAAATAAATTTATTTGTAACTTGTGTAAAGTCGACCCAAAACAAATATGTCTACAAGCCACCTGTTACATTGTTCAAGCATGCAGCTGTTTCTTGTGACGAAAGCTTTTCAGCTATAACATGTCACCTCAATGAATTCCAGTCTTATCAGCACTAAGATGATAACATTTCATTCCAACACAAGCTGATTTAAGTTTTTCTTTGGCAAAGTCGTATATGACATCTTTATTTTTCAGATTTGCAAGAGTTCTTTCAACTATCAATTCCTCAGAACATGCTGAATTATTTCTTTCCACTACACCCCATTCACTAGTACGAGTGTTTCACTTCTTGGTAGTACAATGCCTCTCTGTCCATGGGCATCCGCAGGATATTTAACAGAGAGAAAAGGGGAGGGGGGGAAGAGATGACATAATGATACCAGATCTATAACTAATGAAACACAAAATGTATAATCCAGGGGCAAGTTCCCCTTGCCCTCCCCCTGTGGATTTTCTGGTCATGTACTGTGAATCTTTTTGAAGCTAATAGTAGGCAAAATACACCATATCGTGTAAAGTATTGTTTGTTTGTTTGTTTTTAATTATGCACAAAGCTACACAAGGGCTATCTGTGCTCTGCCCACCACGGTTATCGAAACCCGGTTTCTAGCGTTGTAAGTCCGTGTAAAGTAATCAAAAATATTTTAAATCCACAATCACAGAGCAATACAAAATTTATATGGATACAATTTTCGACTTTCGTATGTCTGTTAATTTATCACGGATTTCAAACAATGAATTTGTAAAGAAAGAAATTATTTGTGTCTGAAACATAACAATAACACTGTTAACTTATCACGGGTTTCAATCAATGGTTTGTAAAGAAAGAAGTTAGTTCGGTCTCAAACATAACCATCACACTGTTAATTTATCACGGGTTTAAAACAATGATTTGTAAAGAAGCAAGTTAGTTGTGTCTCGAACATCATAATAACACTGTTAATTTATCACGTGTTTCAAGCAATGATTTGTAAAGAAAGAAGATATTTGGGTCTCAAACATAACAATAACACTGTTAATTTATCACGGGTTTCATACAATGAAATTCCAAGTCTATAGCTTATGACGTCAACTTAAAGTGACCTTCAGATGTGTTGAAGTTTGGCAGCTTTGGATTAGTTTATTTTCCACAATTCTTCTTTTGATATAACTACTAGAGGAAACACAGAAGTGTCGAAACGTTATCCATATAAATTTGATATTGTTTCGTTATTGTGTATTTTAGATTACTCTACACTGTATTGTGTATTTTACCTGCTTTTAGAATGGTGTCCACGAAAGAACAAAAACATAGTTAAAATATTTCCGATGCTTTATATAGCAATGCTCTAAACTGCAAAAAAAAAAGAAAAGTTACAGCGCCAGATTTTGATAAACTGTTTGAAAAAAGGAAAACCTCCCTAAAACTTTACTGGCGAAGCTATATGCAAAGGATCAAGAACTACCGATTGGTAATCTGGAAAAATCTATTTTATTCAACCCATTGGAAAAATAAAATCTAAAACTAATGGAGCCTTTTACTTGAAGCACATACATTTACAGCTCAAGGAAAACAATTATCAAAGATAGCAAAGACTTCTGTTGCATGGAAAGTAAAGTAAAGTAAGAAGAGGTGAGACTAAAAACGAATTTAATAAACTGTTTAATATAGTAGGTATAAACCTTCCCAACCAGATAGGAATGTTGCAAATTTGTCATCATACAGTCTTACAGATATGAAAAGTAACGTTGGGTTATGGTGTTTTATTCTCTTTCAAAAAACTCTGACTACAACCTTGATCTGATATCGAATGTTATTACATCGGCTAAACGCCATAATGGTGATTTCATAGAATGGTGTTTCATAGAATTCTTAAGAAAATTTAAAAAAAAGGATATTATAGTAACTAAACCTGTCAAAACGAAACAGTTTGTCATCCTGGATAAATCTACATATGACACAAACTAATGGATTTACTGCAGGATGAAAATATTTATAAAAAATCCAGAGCTACCCACTTTCAGGAAAGTATCTGAATTTAACAGATCTCCCCAGAAATTTTAACTGTTTATCTGGATATCTTAAAAATATGTAAATGGGTATGTTCTTCTCTATTATATATGTACCGGCTGCCTATAACACATAAAAATGGCTGCCCACTTAGACCTATTATTTCCAATGTAGGATAAGTTGCTTATCCGTTATCCAAATGGCTATCACAAAACCCATTTTCCTGCTTTATGAAAGCTCTCATCGTGACATATTCCGAATAATATGCATTTTGCCAATAAGATAATAAACTCTAACATAAGTGAAGGAAAGATGGTTAGTTTTAACGTTGATTCTTTGTTTACAAACTCACCAGTTGATGAAACAATAGACTTCTTAAGTTTATCATGCCAGTCCACACTTTCACACCTTTATTTTCATTGTTGAAATGTATGTTGAAGATAATGTATTCACATGCATGAATCTATATTACAGACAAAAATATAGAATGGCTATGGTCGACTCTTTATCCGTAATTTTACATAATATGAAGTATTTTGAAAGTGAATTACTTTCTACAAAAAAAAATCTCCTGATTTCGATATGTTGATGACTTATCTTCTATTTGGCAAATAATAGAAATAATCTTCAAGCCTTTTTCTAGAAGATTAGCATCCTTCACAAAACTATTAAGCATATTAAAGTTGAATAAGAAACCAATAATTCGCTCCGATCTTTAGATATTCTCATAATTAGAGCAGAAACAGGGCCTGTTCTTTCCATCTTTAAACATCAATAAATCCTTAAATATATGTTCACTTTTTCACATGCCACCATAAAATGTTTAAAACACCAATTATAACATCAATAAATCCTTAAATATATGTTCACTTTTTCACATGCCACCATAAAATGTTTAAAACACCAATTATAACATCAATAAATCATTAAATATATGTTCTCTTTTTCACATGCCACCATAAAATGTTTAAAACATCAATTATAACATCAGTGTCTTTATTAATAGCTTATAGAGTTTGTTGTCACGCGACCCTTAGTGTAGAAATCCAAAATACTTGTACAATTTTTGAACAGCTATAGTACGCTATAGGTTTTATTAAAAATGCCCATCAGAAGCCTAGGAATATTTTTTTAGGAACGTCAAACAACATCACCTACATGTGAAAATGAAAATAAAACACTTAGCGTCAACTACAATTCTAATGTTGTGGCTTTAGAGAAATGTCTGAAAAAATGAAAATTTTAAAGTTGTTTATAAATATCCCAATACCATTAAAAATTGTTTACCCTTGAAAAAGTATCTCAAGATAAAGTGCAGCGGATCTATATATTCCCTTGCTAATCCTGTAAAAAAAAAAAAGTTTAGGCTGATTTAGATACAGGATTTGCAAAACATGTATTGAATATGAAAAACTGTCAAATAAATAATGCTATATTTCTACACATAAGAGATTTTGATCACTAAATCAACTGGAAAGAATCTAAAATAATTATAATACATAAAACTAGAAATTATGTCAAAAGAAGAATTCTGAAAGGTTCGTTAAGTAAAAGATTGCCAAACTTCAACGCATTTGAATATCATTTCAAGCTGAACTCCTTTTTGAAATTATATGCCATTAAGGAACTTGGAACTTTCGTTATAAAATAAACAATGGATTAAAAAGAACACGTGAAAGCGTAGAAACTTATACTCATATAAACGTGGTATAGTTTCGTTATTGTGATTTAAATTTCATTTGAATGAATCTAACCTCGCATCCATGTCTCCACAAATAATATTTTAGGTTGGAATTCTTTTGCAGATGCAGAAAGAGATGTGACTGATTTAACTTTGCATTTACCACTTCGTTTTCCAGTATTCTTTTCTGCCACAATGATATATTTGTTGCACTTCTTTGATTTTGTCATTATAGCCTTTCTGTACTTTGTTGATGTCTTTTTTGTTCTTATTCAATTTTGTCATTAAACCCTTTGTGTATTTTTCAACTTTGTTGCTGTAGTCTCTCTCTCTCTATATATATATATATATCTAACCCCCGTTACGAAACATGTGCACCTTTTCAGCCTTTGGGTCTCATGGACCCATACGTTTATGTATTTGAAAGAGAGCTCATATGCCATTTATAATTATATGTGAGAATCGCCCTGGCTCAACCATACATTTTATGTTTTTCTGGAACAAATATAGAGACATAAAGTGCTTCTGTATAAACTGAGAGCCCTCTGGCAGAAAAACGGACTGTTGGGTTTGTTAAATTTAACGAAATGTTATTCGAAGGCTATCTGCGCTACCCGTTCCTAAGGTAGAACTAATTCACCAGAGGGAAAGCATCTAGTCAACACCACCCACTGCCAACTCTTGGGCTACGCTTTACCAACGAATAGTGTGATTGACTGTTACGCTATAATGCCCCCACGGCTGAAAGGTGAGCATATTCGGTGGTGAGATTCTAATCCGCGTCTCATAGATTGCGAGTCTAGTGAATGCTAGATTTCCACTTGTTTGCGTTAAATGCTGCTTATGTGTGATATATTAATTCGTGGGCCACTACTTTTTCTGCATTGGTTTAAAACTTTTTTGTGTATTAGTATTTTTTAGATATATCTGAAATTGTCAGCACCTAAAACATTTCGTTATATATCTCATAAGTCAATATTTACATATATATATTGATCAATTTTGCTTTCCATATAAGACGCGAAGAAAGATTCCAGGAATAAGAACGCGGAGACGGTAACAATTTTCGGACCGTTATTGTTCCCTCACTTTTACAACAAAATAATAGATTTTTTTCAACGTTTTTGTAACAAACGGGAATAATGGGCCGTGAAAGTGACAGAGAAGTGAGTATACGTATGTACTTGTAGAGAATTTGAAATATTGAAATTAACTTCCCAGATTTAATTTAGTGGTAGTAGCGTAATGTAACCAGATTTGTGAAGTTGTACTTGTAGGGTTAGAATACATACCTACATTGATATAATACACTTTATTGAGCAGTATCTGTGTTACTGTTAGGCCTAACTGCGTAAAATACATAATTAACATTAGTTAAAATAGTTTGAATTTTAGACATAAGCTTAATGTTAATTAAAAAGAAAACGAAACCAAAATTCAACGAATTGTAAGCTGCAGTAACTACAGAAATATCGAATGATGAATATAAAATATGTAACGAAAGAGAATGAATGGGAACTTTTTTTGTAGTTTCCACATCGTACTTTTGTAAATTGTAGCACAATTCAATTTTACGTCCAGTGTCTTACAACTGAACACAACTTGCAGTGTACGTTTCATGATTTATACCATAGTTATAAGTCTTACTGCAAATTAAATGAAACTTATATTAGTCACTTATCTGTAATAGGCCTGGCATGGCCAGGTGGGTAAGTCGCTCGACTCACGATCTGCGGGTTCGCGCCCCCATCCCACCAAACATGCTCGCCCATTTAGCCGTGGGGGCGTTATAATGTGATGGTCAATCCCACTATTCGTTGGTAAAAGAGTAGCCCAAGAGTTGGCGGTGGGTGGTGATGACTAGCAGCCTTCCCTCTAGTCTTACACTGCTAAATTAGGGGATGGTTGGCGTCAGGAAGGGCATCCAGCTGTAAAAACCCTGCCAAAACCGAAAATAGCGACCCCGTATAGATACGGGAAAAAGCTACGGAAGAAGAAGAAGTCACTTATCTGTAATAACATTTAACTTTAAGTATAATTATAAATAGAAGCATGAAACCTTGGCTTGAGATTATAGTTATACATAATATTGCAAGGTTATACTTCAACTCCAGTCACTCAATATTAATGAGAAAAGAAAATTTATATATACTTTTTCCAGTGCTATTTAACAAAAGATGTATGTGGTTAAACGTTTTACTTTACAAAACCAGTTTGATGAATATAATTTAAAATACTTAATGTTTGTAGCAAATTGGTTATGCGTAAAACCCAAGTGAAATTCTGGTTAGAAATGAAAGGCTATTGAAATATTAGACAACAAAAAGCCTAAAACGTTTCACAATGTTTTGAGTCAGAATAAGTTCAGTTAGTATGTTTAAAATACCAAGAGGTTTTGGCGCTGTTCAATTTGTAAAGACACTGGGAAAAAAACAGTAATGGAAATGAGCATGGGCAAAAAGTCCTGCTTAGGCTACAAATCATAACTTGCATTTAAAATGTAAATTTTACAAATAAAATAGGAAATAATTTTATTATTTTGAATGAAGACATTATTTTATTGATTCAAACTGCAAAAGTAGTTGTTTTTAAATTCTAAAGAAAATAGTTTTAAAAGTAAAATACAAACACCATTATTTACTGATTGAAAATGTGTCTGTATATACACATAGACACAGGTAATGGAGATAATTAACCCCTGAATAAAAAAACATTACCTTTAGTAAATGATGTTTTCATCTTGTAAATGCATTTTATACAGAAATATGAAGTCTTCCTATTTTCAAAAATGTTTTCTTGTTGGTACCTGGAGGAAGTGAGTTTTCCATGTTTTGGGAGTCTGTTCTGACAACTGTTTATTAGATTAAATTCATTTACATCTGAATTTTCAAGTTAGAAAGGGTTCAGAGCAGGACTACTAGGATATTACCTGGTATGGAAATGCTATGCAAGGACAAGTTGAGAGCTCTGAAATATTTTTCTTTTGAAAAAAAGGAAGAGTTAGAGGGGATCTGACTGAAATGTTTATTGATTTATCTGTTTTTCATTTTTAATGATAAAATTAGAAGTAGATGTTCGTAAGTACGTCCAAAAATGAAAGAGATGGGTGGGGCCCACTGTGTTTGATTCACTAAATGTAGTGATGTCTCAGCAAATAGAAAAGATAGGAGGTCCTTATTTTATATTCTAGCTTGTCAGTATTGGTAATTTGAGTTTCTAATTCATTAGAAACTATAGATATTATACTTGGACATCACAAACCTGTAATTCCGACAAGGTACCTTACTTCCACTCGCATACATAGCTATTATTGTTTAGTGCTGCCCTCTATTTGCAAATATTTTTTTCACATGTCACAAACCTTTCACTCCCATGCATCCTTTGATTCACATGTTTTAACTGATTCTTGCATGCAAATTATCCTGTGACAAATCACCAATAGCAGTGCCACACAACCATGAGACTCCCACTATGCTATTCTACCTAACTATCACTTCTTGTTTGGCAGTTCTCATGGTCAGACATTTAGTTTGTACTCTCATCAAGCGTCTTTTTTCCTATCTTTGTATTCATTTCTGTCAACAAGTTTACTATTTATTATATGACAGTGATATTCATAACTTATTTTAAACTTCTACCCAGTTATGGAACTTAATACTTCATTACAAATTCTGCCAACATAATTGTGTTTGGTTATTCATTTTGAATTATGAATTATAAGTTACCACTTTAGAGGTTGTATGTTCTATCACCACATTTACACAGGCTTCAGATGGAGGTCCTTGACTGGGAAATTATCAGCTTTACTTCTTCAGGAGATTGATTGTTCAATGAGCTGACCTTTGTCGGGCCTCGACTCAAGTTTGGGGACCACACATTTTGAAATACAGTCTGCCAACTTTGGAAAGATGTTGTACTGTTATGGTTTTTGAATATTTTTACAGTTATTGCTATTATCTGTAGTTATTTGGGTTTAATAACATACGTTTAATTAGATTGGTCAATACTCATTTATAATCCTCTTATTAGAGGTTTCCTTCATTAGGGTGTCCTTCAGATGCTCTCCAAGGATGTTTTTACTTTCTCCCTTGCACCAGACCCTCCATCTATTCAATGTGGGATTCTAGCTATGTATGTGAGTGGAAGTGAGGTACCTTATTGGAAGTTATAATTTTCCTACACTGAAAATGTATTTCCAACAGGTACTTACTTCTGCTCACACTCCCTCCCCACTGTTAACTGGTGCTTACGTTTTTGCTTAAACTCGCAATGATAGGTAGAATAACATAGAGGAAGTCATGTGGCACTACTATTGGTGGAGGTTTTTTGTATGATAATTTGCATGCAAGAATCATTTAAAACGTGAACCAAGGGGAGTGAAAAGCTTGTGGCATGTGAAAAAATGTTTGCAAATAGAGGGCAGCATAGAATGAGAATAACTATGTATGTGAGTGGGAGTAAGTACCTGTCAGAAATACATTTTCAGTGCAGGAAAATTGTAACTTTAAACCAAAACTGCATTCAACATACCACGTGACACACAAAAATTAATATTTAAGAATTTTGTTTTAATACTTACTTTTAAGTTAAGAAATTAACTAATGTGTAATACTAAAATTTGAATTATAATCTATAATGTGATACCAAACTTACTGGCAAACATTCGTAAAGTAGTAGATCAATGTAATGACACACCCTTTGACTCCTGACCTGTAGTGAGAGGGTTAAACATCTACTTAATGATTTCTAATTGCAATCCTGATATTTTTTAAATAAGACATTGTTACCATTATTGGTTATATTAAAATGTTTTCATTACTTAATTATCAATTTATTTGATTTATAAATGAATAGTATGGGATTATTGCACATTTCAAGAATAAACATAGGCAACTGCATGATGACTTTTACTTGATATTAGTAATTCATTCAACACGTAAGTCATATTATATTAAGTCATATTAGTAAATGTTTGCAGGGGGGTTAGAGAGAAATAATATGGGAACCTGTCAGCAAGGGTGTGGAAGTATCCAACCAATTATTTTTAAGACTTGTATTATAAAATTGTGAACTTATATACAAAAATATAATTTCTATAATAGTTGCCTATTTGTTCAAATCTGCTGTAGTCTTATACAATGAATTAGATGTCTGAGTTATCTTTGAATTTTTAGTGACTGTTGATTATTCTAAATTTCAATATATGAAGAATAGTAATTGAACTTTATTAACTCTTTAAACCCTCAATTTTTTGCATATTCTGCCTGAATTATTTTCATGATTTCCTAATGATTATCACCATACCTTATAAAATGTAGATTTTATTCATTTTTGTTTTCCCTTCAGCATCAGGGGTACCCACACAAAGAATTGTTGAGTAAATAGCCTCAAACCTCTCCCTGTTGAACATTTAGTGTCACCGTCCAATGGGTAAATTGGTATTTTCAGCTGGATGCTGGTAGTGTTAGCTCGGGTTTAAGTAGTTAATTTAGTATATAAGGTGACACATGATCAGTTAATATGATATATAAAACTACAGAAGTCCAGAATGAGATATCATAATCATAAGTAAATACATAATATCATGTAAAACAATCTGAAATGAAGTTAAGATCCCCTATTATAGAATAAGTTCCATTGTAATGGATTGACCTACTTATTCAATAATAGCAAATTGTAAACTTTGTTATAAGAGTTTATCTCCTGTATGACATGGCTTCCTATGCATCAACACGTTGCTTAACTTGAGAATCATTTAATTAATGGCTTTGGTCCATTTAAACAAAATCTCATTACTTGACCCATATTTACTTCATTAACCCTTTTAGTACAGCCATCAATTCATTGAGCATGTCTCAATGTTCTACAGTTATGTTCAAAATTTAGTCAAACTAATTATCAATGTTACTCAATAAATTTGGCATCAGAATATAGATTATGATTAATATTTTTATATTATCTAAGTTTTAATTTCAAAATAAAATATTTAAGAGAATTTGTAATCTTCACTTTTGTTGCCTATGTCAATCTGTGCTCTCAGTTCTTCCCTTTTTAGTTTGTATAACTTCGGTAATATAACTTCTACACTGTTTAACTAATATATACACAAGTTATAAATTATGACAAGTAGAGCTGGGTGATTAGTGATATTTTAATCAGCATGAGCCCCAGGATTTCTCCCTTAGATCTGCACTCACTTATACAACATTTAAGAATACAGTTATTAATTTCTGAAAGAAAAATGGAGGGACAGACCCTCTGGATCCATTTCCCTACATAAGTGCCTGCTTATACAACCTTATCAAATACATTTATAAATTAGGAACATAACCCAATGTAAAACACAGTAAATTTACACTTTCTTTTAACACTTAAATAGCCAGAGAGTTGATGGTGGGTGCTGCCAGCCAATTGCCTCTTCCTTCTAGTCAGCAGTTCACAACTCATAACAATGGCAGATAGTCTAAATAGCTTTTCAACAACAAAGATATGGCAAGCAAGTTTAGTGACAATGGTAATTGAACTTGGAACCCTCAAATCATGAGGCAATCCATTACCACCACATCATGTAGCTTTGTGTTTACCAGCAAAAACATAATGGCAATATTTTGATTATATGGATAGTTGGAAATAATCAGAAATCCTAATTTTGGTTCATCGATTGTTGTAATGATTGGAAACACTAATTTCAATTAGTTTTTGAGAGAGTGAATTCTTCTTATATTTTGCTATGGTTTTGTTCACTGTTAATTTATTATTCCTTCTGTCATTTAGTTCAGCTATGAATTTTTAGTTATATGAAAGCACTAACTCACCTTCTATATAGAGCATGTTGAGTTTGGGGATGTATGTACATATTATGAAACTGACACAAGTCTCTCCTAGCAGCTCAGCTAAACTGACAAGGTCAAATGTACAGTTTCAAAGTCCTACCATCTTCATTTGCTGAGGTATCACTATATTTTTCCAACTCATGACAGAAGCCCTGCCCATCTATGCTTAGCTTTCAAGGCAGTTTTCAAAATCACAGGTGTTGTTTGGTGCATATGCTATAATCAATAGAAAGGTGATTTTTCTTTCTATTTCAAGCTTTCAACTGTTCTTTTTGAATTTGGTAACAATAGACATAATTTGAGAGAAAGTGATTCATATGTGTGTAAGTAAAGTTGATTCTCCTAGCATTAACAATTGTTTTACCCTATTTATAGTTTAGTTAGAAATATTTAAATAGTAGTTGTTTGTAGACATTCTATTCTAGTAAGTGATGTTTTTTTTTAATGCTTGATAATAATGTACATGAATTTTTGTTTGTACAACAAACCTCGAGAGAATAAACTAGGACTACTTAGCTATGTGCTTAATTGCAAAAATTTTAAGTAATAATTTTATTTCATAATTTTCAAAATTTCAGTTTAGCTACAGTTAATGTTTGGGTAAGGAAAATAAATAAAATATAACGTTATACCTTGCAAAACTTCATATTCAATCAGGAGATTTTAGAGGGTGTGTAGATGAAATATGAAAACTGCAAGATGAAAGGAATTTAACTCTTATTATGAAAATCACTTTATACTAAGATTGACTCAGTAAAGGCTTTGGAAATTCACAGAGAAAACTAGTATAAGTACTTAATTAAAAATACTGATCTTTTGTATATAATAAACTTGTAATATTTACAATGTCCCTCAGATGTTTGTAAACTTCTGAAGATACAGGGTGATCTACTATGTTCCCATGGGCATTCTGGGACTTCAACACACCTTTTGCTATCAGAGATGCTACTCCTTGATGCTGTATTTTGTGAAGAAGATTGATACATTTCAGATTACTATTGTAGGCTGTGCCATTCATGTTGTATTTTGGGTGCCCAAATTAGGTACGCACAAAATTAGTATACCAATGTAAAGAAATGGGTTGTACTAACCAAATATTTGTTTGAAGTAGAGCTTGATATACTATACATGTAGTAATTTTTTAACATATGCAGGGCAGTGAGTGTCGTGAAAATGGCTCTCAACATTCAAGAGAGAAGAGTGCATCCCCACGCAGATCATCTAAACAGAGGGAGGGAAGAAAGTCTAAATCACGTAGTCATACACCTCACTCCCATTCAAGATCTAGGTCATACTCAAGGTCAAGGTAAGGCAAATAAAGATTTGTTAAATATATTTTCCCATCAGTACAATTAGTATAATGGTAGTTGTCTAACCTTTTAAATCCCATGTTAGCTTTCAATGATCAGTAGAGTGGTAATAAAATTATCATGCTCTTTTTCTTAATTATGCATTTGTGTGTGTGTGTGTGTAATATCATTGGTTTCTCTTCAGGTAAGGTAAGTGAAGCACTGCCTAACATGGAACTTGTATGTCATGTCCCTAATCTAAACACTTTTAAAACAAACATTTTTACCTCTGCCACTGTGTGTGTTCATGTGTTTGTCAGCAAGCTTTCTCAAAAACTTCTGAAAGGATTTGGATGAAAGTTGGTTTACATTTGGACTATGAACAAACTTAAAAGTGATTAGTCTTTGGAGGGTTAAGGTCACAGCAAGATCATGAAAATAAAAAAAAATCCTTATCTGTTAACATGGGGACTGATTTTTCATACATTATTTGTCTCAATAACACAGTTATTAGATTTTGATGAAACTTGGTGGACATATGTAGAATATTATTCTTCAATGTTGTGCCAAAAATGGTATACGTCCATTGATAACAACAGGCATACAGTCACATTTTCATATTTTTTAGAGTTAAATATGATCCACACTGCATGGCGGAGGTATGTGATCTACTGGTATTTTATTGTTATTGTGTTTTTTTAGTTATAATAATGTATGATAGTGTTATAAAATATTCATTAATTGTTAATAAAACTTCAACAACAATTTAATATTTCTACACAAGTAAGTGGTAAATGTATTCATACAAAAAACACTGAATGTGTCAGAACTTCCCATTGTCATACCACCAAGAGAGTTTAATATTAACTTCTGATCAAAGTAAGCTACCAATAGGTTGTATTTAGTTAACAGTACTTTTTATGTCACATCTTTTCAAAAACAACCATGTGAACTGGTGAGTGTATAACAACACAAATGTAGTTCTTCAGTACAAAAAATATCATGTAATGTTAGATATATTGTGTCCAAATAATCAGCTATTAACATATTTAAGTAAATTAACGTATGTCATTTGGAATTAAAAAAAAGAAGCTGAGTGAAAAACAAAATGCAACTATTTATGATTCAGCCACGAAAGAAGTTTTATTTCTCATCTTTCATAACTTTGATATGCCTTACCTCTTCTCACATAATAGGTTTTCTTGTTCAGTGCTGCCCTCTGTATGTGCAATTTTTGCTTGCCACTAGCCATGATACTCTCACCTACACCTATGTGTTTACATGTGGTACAGCTAAGTTGTAGCATGCAAATAAGCATGTGAAATCCCTTCACCAATAGAAGTGCGACACACTCTCCTGGCGCAGCTGATTCCCTCTATACCGTAGAACCCAATCTTCACTTCTTGATTTGGCATACTATAGTGCAGATGTTTCTAATTTTTGCTTGTGTTTGCTTCGATTTCTTTTTTTTCAACGGTTTTTCTTTTCTACATCAACTTGATACTGTAGGTTGATTTGAAAATTCCCACTCTCAGTTTGAATTATGAATTCACAATTTCAAGTTGGAGTCATCATGCTGCCTGGTGAATTTGGTCAGGATGACGAGGATTTGGATAGCCTATTCCCACCTCCTTCCTTCTTCGTGCAATCCCGTGTCACACCTGTGGCTGCCTCCCATACCTTCTTTCACCTTCCTCAATATGGTGTACCAGGTGTATTACCTTTTGTCTGTTCTGCTGTGTTTTATGATTCCTCTCCTTCCCCTGTATACCAATCATTTGTCAGATTAAATTGTTTTCCTGTCCTCCCCAGATATCAGGGTCCATACTGATCAATTTCCACCTTGAGGTTTTCTCAGGCTCAATTTTTCCATTTGTGTTTGACCCTCACCACTCTACTTCATTACCTCTCCTCTATCCATCTTCTATCCAACATTCCCCTGAGGGGTTTACAGTGTAAACTTGCTTCCTCCTGTTTTCTATGTTGGCACACTTGTCTTCCTATGCCTTTCCCTACAAACTTGACTCCAGAGTAGGGACACACTTTTAGCTCACATACACCTGCCCACTTCTAATTTTTATGCCACTTGGTCTTTGGAGATCCTTCTGCCTCATTGGAATCTAGGGTGATGCTGCTTGTCAACACTCTTCCCTTTCCTCCTTGGTTTCTTGCTGCTCATGTTCCTGCATCTTGCTCTCCTCCCCTTTGCCTGTCCCTATATCATCGGTTCTAGCATAGTTGGGGCACATTTGACCAGGCTTGTTCACCTGTGGAGCGCTAGCACCATGGATCCTTGGGTGCTTTAGGGACCCGTTATGTTTTGTTGATACGTTACTGAAGAGCGAAGAGTGTACCTGACTCATATGTGTTGTTTTAATTCCTTACAACACCTCATGGTCTTTTTCTCAAGGCAAATCATATTATTGCCAGGCCTTCACCAGTTCAATGTGGGATTCTAGCTTTTTGGGAGAGGAAGTAAAATAATGTGTTGGAAGTTAAAATTTTCCTTAACTGAAAATTTAGTTCCAATACATATTTACATTTCTCACCCATCCTCCCCACTTATGGTGTATTGGTTGACTTGGTCATGGCCAATCTCAAAGTGATTAACAGGTGCGTTATTAGAGAGAGCACTAATCAGGATAGGGGAAGTGTCACACTCCTACTGGTGGAGAGTTGCTGCATGATCTTATGCAGAAAGAAGTGGGAATTACAGGCTAGCTGTGAGCGAAAAATTTGTCCTGATAAAGGGCAGTACTAATCGAGAAAGCTTTTTGTGAAAGGAGGTATCTATCAGAAATATATTTTTTTAAGTTTACTAATATGTTAACTTTTGGTTAGCAGTGAATATCCAAAACACGTAGAGTCAAATCAGTTACATTAATATTTGTAGAAGCTTAACCAATCATTTTTACCAAATTACTTAAAACAGACTACATTTTTGTTAAATTTCTGTTAGTGTTGTCATGTCAATTGGTGGATACATAAGAGATCATTTTGCTACCATTTTTCATGTATAAAATGCTATAATCATGATCTAGACAGAGAGAAAGTATACACAAAAAGTGGGGATTTGACCATATTGTAAAATTTATTAACACCTTTGATATTATATGCTTACCTGAATACAGCATTTAGTTGACTTAATGTTAATTGTTAGAGAGTTTTGAAAGTCTGCCAGTAAAACTTTGAGTGTGGCAAAAGCCTGTTCATCTGTTTATTTATAAATTATGCTTATGTCTTAGGGAGGACATTTCACAATGACCTAAAGGTTTATTTTTGTATAAACAGAAGTCATTCACGGTCTCGGAAACATCGTAACTATAAATCAAGATCAAGATCTCGAACACCAAAGAGGAGAAGATAGTAAGTATTGAATTATGGAGTGCACTTTTTTATTTATTTTTTCCCCTGAGTGCTGCTGCTCTGACTAGTGTGTGTTATCAGTATCTCAAAATTAAAGTTGATATTTTCCAATCAGTTTCTGAATTAATTTTTTCATACATATCTACAGAAATTTAGTTGCTTTTAATTTTGTAAGTATTGGAAATTTTTTAAAAATTAAATGTAAATCAAAAAGGACAAAACTATTTTTTAATTTATTTATTTTTATTTATTAATATACAAGTTATAAAATTATACTGGTTGAATTTCTAAAGTTATTTATTTTCTTCCTATTTATTTGTTATTGTTGGTTAACTTGGTATATAAAGTTTTACAGGAAACACAAGTGATATTTTTATTTCAAAAATGAAATGAGGTCATTTACTGCTCTGAGTGGAAAGTAATTTTCATGTTAAGATTAGAAATATTTTTCTCCATCTGAAAATTCACAAATTTTATTTGCATAATCTCTAAAACCTCGTAAATAAATTCCAAACGTTTTTTATTAAAGTAAAATTTTGTATGTATCTGTTATTTTCTCTACCATAACTCAATTTAGCCGACCTTGTAACCATCCTAAAAAAACATGAAATAAATTTAAGTTACCTTTTTTCTTTTTAGAATGACTTTAAATCGTAACATGAAACTATATTTATTTATCCTAAATATCTTTAAATTTCTAACAGTATACATTTGTTTCTACTTAATTTTATTGTTTTATTACCTGTTGAACCATGTATAACTAATATTCCTGCCATACAAGGTGAAAGTCACTTTACCCTACCATAGTTACTTTTATAATAATAAATAAGAATACACATGAAAAACAAGAAATATAGTACTTACATGGGTCTTTCTTTCTTTTTTTGTTTTTGATGATATTTAACTCTACTATTAGATACTAATTGTACTACTGCACCAAATAATTTTTACTTAATTCAAAATGCACCAAAGAACACAGAGTAATAACAAGCAAAAAACAGATAATGTCTTTTAACTATCACAATTTTTCTGGCTTTCCAACTATGTGATAAGGACCATTAACATTCAGCAAAAGTCATTAATGTGTTTCCCATACAAATAAAGTTTGAACTGAAAGCGAAATAGACAATTCTCTGTACAGAAAGCAATGTAGTATAATATGTAATTTGATAGATTAAAACTTTTGCTTTCTGTTGGTTATAAATAATATAATATTAAATGTCAAAGAGAACTGTTGGCAATTTCTGAAAGAGAGGATGTGACAGGTGGGTGTGGAAGAGGGTTCTGATTTTCTATTTTATGGCTCTGTAACCAAATTGAATGCTATAAAAAATTATGCTTTGCCTGGTCAGTGACAATGCTATAATGAGTATTTTACGTTATATTTCGTATTTCTTGGAGAGGTGGTAAATATATTAGAGAAGAAAGGATGCCTAGAGAGCAAATGTCACAATTCTCATACTAGGGGAAATTTAGGATTTTTTTTTAATATTGCTTTAGAAAGTTAAGAACTTAAAATTTATATAGTATTAAAATGTGGATTATTAGCTATGTTTTAATACTAGTTTTTTCTGTCACAGTTCTCATACTAGGGGAAATTGAGGATTATTTTTTTAATATTGCCGTATAAAGTTAAGAACATAAAATGTATATAATATTAAAATGTGGATTATTAGCTACGTTTTGATGTCAAGTTTATTCGTATATCATGATAATAAAGTACTTTAATTAAATTTTAAATGTAACTCAGAATACCCATATGGAAAAAGTTACTCCATTATTCTCATATGAGAGTGCAAAGAAGTTATTATTTTCACAAGATGGCTAAAAAAAAAAGAGAGATAAAAACTTAATACTGAAAATTGGATTTTGATAATCCTGGTGGCCAAAGCATAGATAGTTCATTTTATAGTTGGAATAATCAAAAGTAGTAATAATCAGAAACACTAATTTTGATTAGTTGATTATGTTACTGAGTTGTGACACTAATTGATTAAGCTGAACAAGCTTGAATTAATTGAAAAGAATAATGGAAAATCATAATGTCAGTATTTCGATTAATGGATAGTTGGAATAATTAAAAACAGTAGCAATCATAAACTGGTAATTTACATGACATTAACCAATTTAATTTAGGTTTTGATTATTCGATTATTCATATTAATATCCCAGCTATATCCCAGATTTAAAAAGGAAGTTCAAAAGTAGGGCCATGATTAACTTAAGCTGATATTGTATTTAGTGATTTCTTAAAAACTTGTAGAATTTTAGGCTTGATTAAAGATCTGGTAGAAACATTGCTGTAAATATTTTACTGGACCTTAAGTAAAATATTTTTTCATGTAATACAATATTTGTGAAAGACTGGAAATTTTTCTGTCAGTAAATGTATATCTGTATTTGCAATATATGAATCAGAAAGTAAATTTTAAAATGCTTTGGTTATTATTCATATATTTATCGGAAATACATGATGAAAACAAAACCTTTTCTTTTTTTTCTTTTAATAAGCATAGCACTGCAATTTAAGTAGCCTGTTGAGCAGTTCACATATGAATTTCAGTTTTTAACTCTTGTGTTGGCTGTATTAAATAATTAAATGTCATATAAAACTAAAATTAAAACTTTTAAACAAGAGATACCATATGGTCAATAAGATATGTTTTTTTTTCACCAGATTATGGCAAATGTACCAGTCACACTAATAAAATGCACAAAATAGGATTGATATATTTAAACGAAAAATATTTTAACCTGAAGTGTCTTTATACATTAAGATACATTTTTAGCTAAGTAACATAATTTATTATTTTGACATTTGTGATTTTCTCCAGCAGAAAATCTGAACTTTGTAGAAAAAATTGCATTGCTTCTTTCTAAAAAAAATGTTTTGGAATCAGTTTCATAAAATGCAGATCAATCTGAAGGTATGTGTGTGTATATATATACACACACACACACACACACATACATATGAGGAAAAAGTAAGTTACAAGTGAAACAGTAATTCAAATCAACAATTATCGAACTGGTAAATCACTATACATTTGAAATTAAAATTTTTGTGCTTTTATGAATCTATATGCAGGAATTAGGTTTGAAGTGATCAGTTGTTTAGTGAATCCAATATTAAAGAATGATTTTGTTTCAGATTTGTAGAACTGGTGGTTTTAATTTGTGTATTTTTTATTTGCAGCTCAAGAAGTAGAAGGTGAGTTTTTTACATTTTAGTGAAATTATTCTATTAAAAAATAGATGCTTTTGATCTTCATTTGATATTTATTAAAATTAATTGATGCATATGACAAATTATGCTAATTTACCCAGATTAGCATTATACGAATTGGAATAGAAATATTAGAAATCATTTGATTCCATTCCAGATCAGTGTATTTTTGAGTGAAACTTCTAGAATTAGAATTTAAAACAGCTTATTTCATTAACCCTTTTGCAATGGGTACCCTTTTAAATCCGTTACTATGCAAGTCAAAATTTAATTAAATAACTTTACTGTCAATGGAATTAACATTATTATGTATGGGATGATTCAAAGTTTTATATTATCTCTAAGTTTTAATTCCTTTGTTTCAAATGAAATCTTTAAAAATAATATTTAAACTTCAGTTTTGTTGTCATGTGACCCACGAGCTATGAAAAATTTCAAATTTCATGCTCTCTATCTTGAATCACATAACCCAGTCCTGTAGATGTATGTCTAGACAATAAGTACATTTACTTGCCTTATTGGCACGTATATTTCCAAGTTTTTTGGCTGAATTCAGTTGAAACTAGAGATAAATTTTTCCAACCCTGACAGTTCCTCGCCAACCTTTTTTACATAGTCTTGAGATTTACTAGCTACATGTTCTTATTTCATGTACGTGTTTATAATCATTAGAAAGAGCTCATTTTACACTATAATACAACAATAGTTATTTTGAAATTTCACTAAACATCAGAAGACCTGGACAAGGTCAAATCAATGAAAAAGACTGTTTAAAATAATTGTAAAATTTCCTGTTAAACAAAACTGTGCATTCTCTTTTGCTCCTGAATAGTATATAATAAGTACTTCTTAGCATTAATGTTACTTATTTTTTCAATTACATACATTAATATAAGTGACTTGTGGTGATTAAGGGACATTGAAAACATCATACACATTACTATTAAATGTCAGAAGTACATTCTCAGTACACCCACTTTGTTTTTTGCTTTCTTAAAAATAAATACTAACAAGTTGTGATTTATTTTAATACTTTGGAGGAGTATTGTGTTATGCATTCTGTTTGAAAGTTATTATAAAAAAAAGCAAAATAATTTATTCAGTTAAGGAATATATATATATATATATATTTCTTTTGTAATGTGTAATTTTATTTACTAATAAACAAGATTACAATTTATACTTTATCTTTTAGACAATAAAACTATTATACTTAAACAACTCTCTTTTTTTGTCTTTTAGACAATAAATAAGTCTCACTTGGTGTATATTTCACAAACTATTATTTTTAGCACATAGTTAAGACTGTTACTGGTCGTTGCTATTCGTAAATCTTGGGCTCTTAAATGTTATTAAAGCAAACTAAGTTTTGCAAGATAGGTTTAAAAAAGTCAAGAGTTCTAAATTTAGTAGTACAGGTTGTATTTTGTTATATTTCAAGTTGTTTAAATTCATGGATTTGACAATGCATGCCTTAAAACAGCTTGATCTATTTCAGTTGTTTAGGATAACTGTGTACAAATAACTTTCTTGTTTACAAAGAAGTGTGTTATGAACTTTTTTTTGTTTCTCTAAAGGGTCTTAAGTACTTTGTAAATTTTAATGTTTGCATTTAAAATTCATGTCTTAAACGGCCTAATTTATTGTTATTTCTTTAAGAACAAGAACTAGTATTCACAGTTAAATGTGTATGTGTGTCTATGAAGGTAACACATTATAAACTACAAATTATGATTTGTCATATTTCACATGGAACACAAACTTTTACTAGTATTATACTACTTATGGTATATTTTATAGGAGCCGCAGCAGATCTCCAATGTCAAGCCGACGAAGACACCATGGAAATCGGGTAGGTAGGGATTAAAAACTTTGTTCGTCGTAATGAATGTAAAACTAGACAAATGACCAATTATTTTAAAAGTGCAAAGTAATAATATTTTAAGTAAATACAGTTTATATTAATGCCCATAAAACACAAATGGAAAGTGTTATTTATGTTAAATTATTATTAATATTTAAAATATAAATATTCAGAATTATATCATCAAAGAAAGAAAAAAGTTTCAGAATACCAAGTACAACATCCGACAGTAGGCCTCCAGCTTAAATTTTAAAGCACTTGCAAATAGCTGCTAGTTACTTCCCCCCATTATCAAATTTGGGACTGCTACTAGCAACAAAATAATTCTTCTCTAAAATTAACTAAAACTGTGTCATAAATAATCATTTCATGTATTAAATCTTGATAAATATATATATATCACAGTTATATCTATTAAACTTTTGTTTCATGTCTTGTTTTTAAATATTTAATAATATCAAAACTCATTTTAACTTCATTTAACACTTATTATTTTAACTATTTCACAAAAGTTAAAAGATGCTTAATTTGATGTACCTATTTCATGAGTGTCTGGATCAACAAGTCTACAGTATACTACTGCCAATGGCCACCCAATACTAAAAAAATATTTATTATTAAAAGTTACTCTTTAATTGTCGAAAGCTAGCAAAGTATTAAAATCTAGACAAATTTAGTTTATTTTGTTATGTTTTATGGTACATAAGATGTTGAAAGGATTTTTGTGATATATCCCTACTATCATTTTATTTTGGTTCTTTAATCTTACTAAAAAGATGATCCATTATATGTGTGTTTTTGTTAGCATTCATCAACCAGAGTTGGTGCCTTGACTGCCATAATTTTTGGTGTGATAACCAGAAACTTTTTCATGATGTACACAGACTATTCTGTTTTAGGGTGTTTGTCCAAGAATGGAGATTAAAAAAGTCCCTGAAACAGGGCACACTTCCACTTTAATAGACTTTGGGCTTCCATCACTCAAAGTTGGCTGGCTTGACTATCATAATTTTTTGTATGGCAACTGGAAACTGTTTGATATGTGTATGAGCTATTTTGTTTTAGGATTTTTCCTGAGAAGGGGGATAAAAGAAAACACCCTGAAGTGGGGAACATTTCCATTTTTTTATATAAGATACAAGTATTTATATTGTTAAGTGACTTAATTATTACCTTCCATAAAGCAGGGTATTCGATTAACATCTGATGTGTTAATTAAAGATTTAATAATATAAGAAAGAAGGAACATTGTTTTTTAACACAGTTTTTGCTTCTTTAACTCTCAGCTAGTTATATATAAACTGTGATTTCCCAAAGTCCTGTTTGATTTCCTTATTTAACCCTCTCGCCACAGGTATATTTTACTGTGCATGTCACAAGGTTTTTAGTGAGTTACATTTAAAATTTAATGAAACTACTTTTTGTTTATGTTATACCAAATAGTATAGTATATAATAATGCTAATAATCCATATTTTAATTGTATACAAGTTTTTTAAGTTCTTAATTCTACAAGGAAATATTAAAAAAAATCCTGAATTTCCCCAAGTGTGACACATTTTCTCTAGGCATCTTCTTTTCTTTATTTTATCCACCACCCTTCCAAAAAGTATGAAATTAAATGTAAATTACTCACTATAAAAGTTGTTATTGCTCAGACAAACCATAATTTTTATAGCATTCAATTTTATTTGGTTACAGAGCTATCAAATAGAAAATCAGACCCCTCCTGCCACACCCACCTATCACATTCTCTCTTTCAGGTTTTGTTAATAGTTCTCTCTTATGTTTAATTATATATTACCCATAACCAATAGGAAGTCAAGGTTTTCACATATCAAATGACATATTGTATAATGTTGTGTTCTGAACAGATAATCATCAATTTCAGTCAGAGTACAAGCTCCGTTCCGGTGGGAAAGCTAATGACTAGCTTGAATGAATTTATAACGGCTCTTGATGCATAGTTAGAAAGCCAAAACAATTTTGAGAGTTAGAGGAAATTATCTACTTTTTGCATGTTATTAGTCTATGTTCTTTCGTCGATTATTAATTAGATTAAAATTATTTAGTGCATTACTACCATTAGTATAAAAAAAAAGTAGGGTTAAGTGTCATCGACAGCAAGAAAAAAGAAAATTGGGTAAGTACTTTATTTCTTGTTTTTCA